GTCACCAGTGATTATGGTGCTCATGAAGTCGGGGCCACTGTTTGTGTAGTCCAGCATGTCCTGTGAGACTTCAAAACGAAGTTCCTTTTGCTCTGCCGTAAGCAGTTTCGGCACGAATTTCGCCGCCAGTCTCTTCATAGCCAAATCTTCGGTCATAATGGAATGTGCCGAAAAAGTGCTGATGCCCACCTCTTCCGCAATTTCTCGGATAGTCACACGACGGTCCCGCATCACCATAGCGTTCACTTTGGCAATGACCTGATAATTTCGGCATGTTGATGGCCGACCGGAGCGTGGCTCGCACTCCACCGTTGTGCGGCCGTCTTTAAACCGGTTGTACCACTCCTTAATCTGTGTGATGCCCATAGCATCGTCACCGAAAGCCGTCTGAATCTTCCGAATAGTTTCCACCTGGCTGTCGCCCAGTTTCTGGCAAAATTTGATGCAGTAGCGCTGCTCCAGTCGTTCCGTCATTTTCCTTGTAATTAAAAACCGACGAGAGCACTACACACTACCTCACTCAATGGCTGCTTGCCAACAACTGACGCAATCAACAAGCGGGAAAAAATTCACGCATGCGGACGAAGGTTCGAGGTCGGCTCATGCAAGCGCGCTTGATTCAAATCCATCAGGTTATCGCAAAAAAAAAAAGAAGGTCGGATACTTTTCTCACAGGCCTCGTACTTCTGTAACATATCTGATTGTTTGTGTAAAACAGACTTGTACATTTTATTAGAAGCTTGCCACATTTCATTCAGATATATGTAGTAAACTTGGAATCATAAGTCACCATTCCTTCCTCAGTATAAGGTCAGTCCAATGGACTGACTCCATGAACATTGTTTAACACAGTAATGCTAAACAGATTTTCTTTACAATATAGTTTAAATTACTTGCAATTACTTCAGTAATTACAAGATCAATAAAATGCTCTTTTTTAAATTACATAATTTTTTCTGAGTAACCAGTTAATGTAATTAAAAATCCTAGTTCGTTCAATGGTAAAACAAAGCATTAAAGTAAGAAAATTACTAACTTTTAGAATATAAGTCTAGCCAAATCATTTATAATTCATCACATCTTGTGGGGTACTACAGTCAGGAAAATTGTCAGCACTGGGTTCTAGTAAACAGAAGTACTACAGGTTTAGACTTATAAAATGATTGTAAATAATTAGATACTAAAAACATATTAAAATATGCTAGACAAATAACAAGGTTTATATACCAGTCTTCCTACAAATATGTTCATGAAACAATGTTGGTTCTTCGTCTTTTATGAAATTCACTCTTATGTGAAAATCTAGTTTACGGGTTACATATTTAAGTACTTTATTATCTGTTGTCATGTAGAGGAACTTATGGTTGCTTGAATTCTTAAATTTCATGCTTTTCTCAATCTATGAACACACTGACAATAAATGGCTGATACCTGCTTCTCTCAATCTGTCTCCTGTGTTTCTTGTCCGACCAGTTCTTTCACTTCCTGCTAAGTCCACTAAAGACAGCTGACTGACCCTAATTTGGCTTTTATCCTGTAAGAATAAATAAAAAACTTCAAAATAAAGTTCTTCTTAGCTGTAAACAGTTTATCTTCAAAAAAACAAAAGATATATAGCCAGATTTATGTGAGGGACAATTTACTTACCAGTGCAACAAAACTTAAAATAACTTTTTTCTTCTAAAACATTACAAAATTGTATTGTAATTTGTCATACAAATTTTTAACTTACCTTGAAAATTAAAAACAAATAATAAAAAATTAAGTACTATTCACTACGGAGAGTAAGTTTTACATACACACAGAAAAAGGAAGTGTTGAGTACATTATATTAACCCCTTTGAGACATGTCATAGGTGAAAGGCCATGTCATCTCGTTTGTTGACTCTCATTCAAAATTTTATTGAACTGCTATTTCATAAATTTATGTCAATAACTT